TTTAACGGCCATTACTTTTGTTTTATTTGTGTTTATATTCAGCCCCAAGCTATCTCCCTATCTGGTTATGGCATTTAAAAATCGTTGCAAACCCTCAGCACTCTCCGCAATAACGACGGTGCCGTCTGCGTATATTAAGTTGTTTACATATTCTCCGTTGATTTTTATTCCTTATTCAATATTTTCCGGGACATTTTGGAAGATCTTTTCGGAATATATATTAAACGATAGTATAGAAAGTCGCTCAGATAGCTCAGCGGGCTGTGCGGCTGCCTCTCATTTCGCTTCACTGTCGAATGGTTCAGTGGATGTGGGATCGAGCCCCAGCTCGGTGTACAGAAAACAAAAAGTCTAACGCAGCAGTTTAAAATTCTAGATGAATCTGCGGCTTAGACTAGAATATGCTGGGATCTGATCGGCCTATGGTGGAGCAGTACGGCAAGAGATAAGGGCTTGCGGCTCGGTGATACTCCTCCATAGATCCCTACCGGACTTGGTTTTTGTTTTCCGTTACATGCCCCTGTTTCCTTTTCTTTTCTAATCGGCGGAATCTGTTGCGGTGGTATATTTATTGTTTTTGTGCATTTCCATAAACAGTAGTCAGTCATTTGGTCATCGATCAGATCGTTTAGGTATTGGTTTATTGATTCATTTTTGCTTAACTCTCTTTCCTTTATTTCCTGTTATGTTAGGTTATTTAACACATTTATATTTTTGCAGTTCAGTCTGTTCGCTATGTTTTATTGGCTTTTCTTTTTGTTTGCACCATTTTTCGAATTTATTTTTGATAATTTTGGTTTTTCTTATAATTTGTTTGGTATATATGGTCGACCACCGACTAGATGGACCGATGATATAAAACGTGTAGCGGGAAACCGGCTACAAGCGGCCCAGTGTAGAGAACACTGGAAAGAACAGAGGAAGGTCTATGTCCAGCAGTGGACGCGATTGGCTGATTGATGATATATGGTAAGTTTCTCCGCTTCATCAAGTTGTTCATTAGTTTTGATTGGTACATTTACCCCAATTCTGTCACTTAACTCCTATCTAAAGCTAGCCCAGTCCGTTCTATTATTGGTTAGTGTAGGGTTATTTTCTCTTAATATAATATGCTCACTGATTGTTAGTAGTATTAAAAAGTGATCAGAATTGGAACCATCAGCTTCTCTAAATTTTATAAAATTTGTTGCAACTTTTCCTGAAATGAAAAAGTCAATTAAGTCGGGTGTTTTATTTTTATCACTGGGCCAATATGTGGATTTTCCAGTTTAGTGCCATTTTCCATTTATTTTTTCTATTGCTGCATGTGAATCTCTACCCTTTGTGTTTGTTAACCTTGAACTTCATATTTACAGTGTTTTTAACATTAAAGTCTACACCAATGATAAATTTTTCTCCAAGCGTGTTGAGCAAATGAACATAATTTTCTTTTTTTTTAGATTATTTTTGGTGGAAAATATGCAGCTGCTGTTGTTACATAATTTCTTTTTGTTTTAACGTTTATACTAGCTGCCTGGATGGCTTCAGTCTCTATGTTTTCTCTTTCGAAGTGAATTAGATTATTTTTGATTATTACATCTGCTCCTCAACTAGCTGTGTTTCTAGGGTGAAGAGCTTGATATTTTTGATATTCTCTCAGTTTAATGTATGTTTGTTTTGTGAAGTGTGTCGCTGATATTAAACATATATCGATTTTTTGGTTGTTTAACGTAAACAGTATCTCCTGCTTATGTTGCATTAGGTCATTTGCGTCCCAATGTAATATTCGTAACTCTACCGCCATTTTATCTTCTACTAATTTTTATGCTATTTAATCTTTCTAGAATTTTTTTATTGAATTCTTCTTGCTTGTTCATGCGTTCTATTAATATGTGTAGCATGATTGATATCGAAATTTGGGTCATTCTCTACTGCTTGTTTTGACACGTTAGAGGCTATTTTCACATATGTTTGGATTTGATAAACCTCTCTTTGATCGTTTTGTATCGATTCATCGTATCTACTGCCTTGTTTTGTAGTGTGGTTGTAGGTTTCTGTTTGTTCCGTAATTTTTGAAGAGCTGTATTAGTCGTGCAACCTCTATAATTAGTTGGGTGGACACCAATAAAGTGTACACATTTAGGTTCTTTATTTTGTGGGTTTTCACAATCTTGTAAAAATGTTTTCCGATACATTTTACGCATCTCGGTTCTCTTCTGCAATAATTTTGTGTATGTCCATACCACTCTTGATATCGTTTACATTGTGGAATCGAATTCGGTTTTCTGAAAGCTTTTATGGTCACTTTCATGTGTAAAATTTTGGTAATCTCATACAATTTTTTTATATTTTCGTCTTTAAGTGCAAAAAGTGGCAGTGGTGATTTGTCCTTTCCTTTTAATAATTGGGTTACGTTTTCTATTTTAAATTCCCTATTGTCTAGATCTTGTCTTATGTCTTTAGCTTGACAAGTTTGGTGCAGTTTTCTTGCAACCACTTTTAGATGCATATTTTGTTTATTTTTAAACGAATACCATTCCAGATATGTGCCATTTAGTGTCTTTGTGAGATTTCTGTAGTTATTTTCTCGTATATATATATATATATATATATATATATATATAATATATATATATATATATTAATTTTATATTTCCACCTGCAACAATCTTGTGCATGGATATTTAAACTTTACACTAGTACTTTCTAACTACAAAAATGAGTTTCAGAGCTTTGGAAATGGCCGATTTCACGTTTTTCAAAATTTCAAACGCTTATTATAACTCGACAACGATCAACTTGAGAAAAGTTACTACGGACCTTTTTTGTTTGGAATCATCCAAAAACCCTTGACCCGGGCGGAAAAGGTAATTTTTGAAATTTTTGTGAAAACATTGTTTATTAAAATCTTGACGAAGGTGGTCCATGGTTTCTTGCGGTTTTAATATTAGTTTTATTAACTATATTTTTAATACCTAAAAAATTTAGTAATCTCTAAAAAAGTTTTTGGGGATTGGTCAATGTACCAATCAATAGCAATAAAATATCCCGATAAGATGGGCCCGTAGCCTTACTCATTGTCGAGATATAGCTATTGTTTCTCGGAAACGGTTACATACAGCTATAATTTTTTTCTTTCCATAATAAATTAGCAATAAATAATGGTGTTGGTCTGAATCTGAATTCTGCCTTATAAAATTAATAATGCTAACTTTGCAGACATGTGGAGTTCAGAGCTTGTATATTTTTCCACTCAGTGACCAATTAAGTATTTCATCTATAATTTATACCTAAAAGCAAGATATCACAAACAGAATACATGTTTTAAAAATATTCAGTAAAGGATTTGTTTCCACTGGTCGTTTTGACAACAAATTGCTTTTCTGATTGGTGAGTTGGTGTTATAGTTATCTAATTTTGATTTGTCCTATAACTAATGAATACATTGCCTTTACTTTTCTTTGCCTTTAATATTTATTCGTTTTATTACCATGGGCTAAAAGAAAAATTTAACAAAAAATTCGATCTTTTAGTTTTTTAACGGAAAAATTATGAAATATGAAGTTATACATGTGGTTCGGAGAAAACTAGAAAAAAATACATTTACTCATAAACGGTCTGTACGTTAAGCTGCGGTGTCCTAGTCATGCGGAGATGGACAATAATGGACATTAATTGGGCTCTGTTACAAGTTCGAATCCTGTTCAGATCGTAATTTTTTTAAATGCATATGAAATTATTTTTTTTTATTCTGGCGTAAAATTTAACATAAAGGGGAAACTGTGAATACTACAGAATCATATAGAACCAGTACAAAGATTCCAGTATCTTGGTTCCGTGAGGCGTATAGAAGCCTTTGAGATGAGGGTTTTTCGAAGGATGCTGAAGATCTCTTGGACAGAGCACGTGACCAACAACGAGGTGCTAAGAAGAATGGGTACTGAGAGAAAACTGCTAAATATTGTAAAAAACAGGAAAACGAGTTATCTAAGACATATTTACAGAGAGGAAAAAATTACAACTTCCTACGACTTATAATGAAAGGGAAAGTGGAAGGAAGAAGTCCAGGAAGAAGAAAATGCTACTGGTTAAAGAATGTAAGAGACTGGACAGGTATGGACAAACATTCAATACTAAGAACAGCTCAAGATAGAGAGTAATTTGCTGTAGTTATAGCCAACCTTCAGTAATAGAGAAGGCAACTTAAGAAGAAGTGATTGCTACAGCAATTTTTGAAACGGATTCATCATCTCTAAAATGCGTCTAAATGATATATAATGTTTTACTTCCGACAATGAAAATTATTCTTCTTCTTTTTGTGCCACTCCTATCGGAGATTGGAAATCATCAAGGCTATTCTGACCTGTTTACGGCTGACCTAAAGAGTTCATTAGTGATGCAGCCAAACCACTCTCTCAAATTCCGCAACCATGACATTCTTCTACGGCCTGGATTCCGTTTTCCTTCTATTTTTCCCTGCATTATATTTTGAAGTAATGCGTATTTATGTCCTCTAATCAGGTGGCCAAAATATTCGAGTTTTCTTCGCTTTAGCGTTAACAAAATCTCTGGGTCTTTTCCTATTCTTCGTATTACTTCACAGTTTGTTATTCTTTCAACCCAACTAATCTTCAGCATTCGACGGTAGCACCACATCTCGAAACTTTCAATATTTTTCATGTTGTTCTGTTTGAGAGTCCAGGCCTCTACACCGTATAATAGCGTGTTAAATACATAGCCTCTCAGCATTCTTAATCGTAGAGGGATGCTTATATTTCTGTTGCAGAAGAATTTTCTCATCTTTATGAAGGTGGCCCTGGCAATTTCGATACGTCTTTTTATTTCACTGTTTTGGTCTCCAGTTTCGTTTATTAAAACCAAAAAGTATTAAGAATCCTTATTACGGAGTATCCATCCATCTATGTTCGACGGGTTACGAGTTTAGATTCATAAGTTTTTAAAAGTTAATGTTATCGTTGCTTACATATTATTTAAATATGCCATTTTTTTTGTATTTACAGGTGCACCTTTAGGTTTCCCAGTACAAATATTCGATTATCGTTTCAATCATTGGTCGATGACAATTCGGAGCCTCCTCCTAAAGTTAGGGAAGTTTCGCCGAGCAGGATAAGGGATCGTTCAGGGGGTGGAAGCGGGTCTACGCTCCACCCTCTGAGAATCAATATCCCCGATGGTGTAGACTATGGTAGCCCATTCCCTTCGCCTACTGGTACCATAAGTGCTGCCAATAGTTGTCCAGCTAGCCCACGTGGTGAGTATTAATATATTATACTACAATTCTTATAACACCACCTCTGAGGGTATCTGTTCCCATAAACTAAACGTAGCAAACCACGACGTTAGCTATTTCTTAAATTCAATAAAATCTTACACGATTTCTAATATTTGGATAAATATTAAATTCATCGATATCATGATTAATATAAAAGCAGTTATTTTAAACTTAGGTATTTGTTGTGATGTATTATGGAGAAGAGAACATCTCTAAATAAATATTGGAGAGTTTGCTAATCGGATCTACTGACTTACATTGGTTTACTTATAATATAATAATGTATTATATTTAATGATTTAATAAAAAAAATAAGTATTTAAACAATCGCTAGGGAACATTTCCAGTCGTTATGTATATGCCTTAATTTAAAAATTATTTTTGTGTAATTGGTATATTCGAATTTTAAAAATTAATAAAAAGGATTAGTTAAAACATCAAAATGTTTTCTGTCTTATCAGAAAATGGCGACAACTGTGCTTGAATAGAGCTAATAGCGCACTCAGCTGTCGCCATTTTCGAGTAAAGGGTTGAGTGAAGGGCCATTGACTTGACGTCATCATTTTTAAATTTTAAGTAAGTTTTTAATTAAAAGGTTTTTTATCTTTCTGGAGTTAAGAATTGTTTTCAAAGTAACTGTTGAGAGTGCGAATCAACTGTCGAATAGTCATGAATGAAGTATTGTATGTAATATAAGCATTAAATGAAGTATCGGGCATTGTCATGCATGAGTAACATTTGTATCGGATATCCATGTTTATTGAATTCCCGAGCAGTTTTAACATCCTTAAAAAAATTCTGGTAATAGCAGCATTCGGTTCCCCTATCCTGAAGAAAGTTCAGTAATAAAAGACTAAACTTATCGCTATCATGAGTTTTGCATTTAGCAGTGTATAGTGGTATTGTAATGTACCCAAAATTTTTAAATTATTTTAAAGTGTTTGTCTTTCCAGTACTATGATGTCTTAGCTTATTCCCATTGTTTATCGAATTACTGCCTCGCTCAGTTGGCTAACCGTTACAATAAGATGAGGGTGTTATGATCTTCTGAGTGATGCATTGGTGAGCATCTCGTGCTCTACGAAATTGTTTATGCCAAAATTTCACTTGTGTCCTCCACCTTGTTGAATTTCCACATTAATTAAACAATCTGCCAAATTTCAGTTTTTGAATATATATATATGTTTGTTTTGAGGTTTCCGCGGGAGCTATATGTGCTGTCACTATTTTTTCGGGTTTGACTCCGCGTTGTAAAGTGCTGGTTTTCTTGAAAACCATTGTTTTGGCGACGTTTCGGCAAGGTCTCACTTGCCATTCTCAAGCCTGGTGGATCTACTTCTCGTCGTTACTCGATTAGTACTAATAGTGACAGCATATATATATATATATATATATATATTATATATATATATATATATATATATATATATATATATTAAATTTTGGTGACTGTACGATATTGTTGCTTATAACTTTTTATATAATATTGCTATATTACTATTATTTCCAAACCCTTACATTAAATTTTCTTCTTCGTTATGAGACTTGTAAGCTAAATTTTTAAATTTTGTTATAATCAATAAGAGAGCTTCTTTTATGCGTGTACTTTCACCTACAGTTCCGCAGTGCAAATAAACCGATATTGGTAGCGCTTGTTACAGTTTGGCACAGAGAAAAGTAGCAATAAAACTCAGAAATCGCATTCATAATACGCTACATTATTGTAAAGTCGCGCTGATACTCATTTTGGTTAGCCATGATTCAGGAGTTCATTTTAAACTTTTCTCCGAAATATTTCGGAATAGTAATTAGTTTAATTTTGCGGAAGATTAAAATGTTGTTCTGAACCTATTTTCTTGTGTCTTTCTTCATGACGTTATAGTTTGCTTCCAGATCTTCCAGAAACTTTGTGTACTCCTATTTTTTCTCATAAAATTGACCCTAGATATGTCCGTGGACATTATTTCTTTCCAAGATAAAAGCTTGGTGTCCAGAGCCTCTTGATTAACAATACAATGAAATATTAAGGCGCAACTGATTCTCTGTACAACACCTTTAATTTGGCCGCTTATGGTCTTACCTTCATCAGTAGTAATACATCTATTTCCACCAGCTTATTTGTAATAGCTTCAAGGCTTGTTTCACATAACGGAATAAATCTTCCCCTGTAGCGGTACTTTTCAAACTTCACTTTCTTATAAGCTCTTTATTAACATTAAAGTTTTCGTCAATACTACGTACAAACAAGATAAGTCTGTGCTATATCTGACACGTTCATACTTTCATCCGTTACTAGATAGAAACAATCAAAAGAGTGTTCTTTATCTTTGAACTTTTTATAAAAGTTAACGCCAAATTTTCCGGTGTGTCGGGTGTTAGTTTTATCAGAGACTGAGACTTTCAATTTTTTTTGTTTCTCTGGACATACTTCTTCATCGATTGCTAAGACACTGTCTAAAAGTTCATTCTCGATGAATAGATTCCCAAGTTTTGCTAGTATTTCTGCTAACCCGAAAGTACTACAAACATTTGATTCATTGTTGTCTACCCATCGAGCAAAAAGACAAAAGAGAGAATGTGAAGATAGTGAGGGCAAAAATATTGTTAGACAGGAAGTACCATCTTGAAAGGCCACATTAAACAAAGAAAGAGAGTCTTTCCTTGTTTAAGAAATCAAATTTAGTTGGGTTATGTTATTGTTTGTCCCAACTGTCAAATCAAATCTTATTTATATTGAAGTTTTTTAACAATTGTGTCACATTTTAGACTATTATCGTTAATATTTATTTAAAGTTTCTCGTCTATGACACATTCTGAAAACTATTTTATAGCTACTGTTAATAAGTATCGGAAAATTTAAATTTGGCGCATTCGTATTTTCGGATATGTCCGCCATCAGGGGCTACTTATCTGGTCCCCTTTTCATAACGATTAGATTCCCTCTTTTTTCTTTTTGCTCGATGTGTCTACCACAACTTTGAATACGATTTTTAAGTGAGAATTTCAAACTAGAACTTTTATTTTTTCGGTTTTTTTTTATTATGGGGTCGCACGTGGCCCGCGGCCTGCTGTTTGCCGACTCCTGAATTCTAAATCATTAAAATAAATATTAAAAGTCATTACATTTAGATAATAAACATTAAAGTAGAACTCCAACCCTGAGCTTAGTTGATAAAGTGCCGATTAAAATCTGCTCTTTCTAAAACTAACTTTTCAGCGGTTTATAATCAAGAAACGTAAAATATTGTTAGCTAAATAGTGTATAAGTTTCTTCACTCACACAAAAAACAAACTGTGAGTACATTACCAATTTAATACAAATTCAATATTATTAAATAAATATTATACATAACCCATAATTCAATACAACACATCAATTAATCCGGTTTCTGGTTTTTTGGCAACTTCGATAAGTGAAATTAATCAGCCGATACAGGACCGGCTTTAGAAAAATTATATCAAATGAAGAAAACAAAAATTAAAAATGGATGATTCTGAAAATATTAGCATACCTACTACATCATCAACATCGACATATTCCAATGCAGTAAGCAACTTCAATTTTCCTTCAAAAGAACAAGCCATTATTCTGTCAGCTATCCAAGGTATTAAAATACATGAATACATAGTAGCCATAGGGTCTCTACTCACACCAAAAAATGTTATCTTTGCATCACGAATAGCGAACAACCGAGTTTGCATTTACTTGAACAATACTAGCATAGTAGATACCTTACTAAACAACCATAAAACTGTAGTCATCCAAGGCAATGAGATAGAAATTCGAAGACTTATTACGCCAGCAAGGAGACTAGTAATATCAAACATCTGCCCCAGCATCCCGAACAGTATTCTAGAAGACGAACTGAAACAACTAGAACTAACTGCAGTATCCAAATTAACGTTTTTAAAAGTTGGCATGCCCGAGTCTGAGTATAGTCATGTCTTAAGCTTTAGGCGGCAAATATTTGTCTCTCCGATAATCACCAAACCAATTCCAAATACAATCTTAATAACCTATGACAACACTCCTTACAGAATCTTCCTATCCCTAGATGGTTTAAATTGCTCTAGATGCAATACTACTGGCCACAAAGATGAAAACTGCACATCAACATCAACTGGTACAGAAACACTTAAAGATCCATCTCAAGTGATACAAACATACACCTCAGAACTCGAACCCATGGAAGTAAATCAGAATAATTCAGCAACAAATATTTCAGATGATACAACTAACTGTTCCAACCCTATTTCTGCAGATATCCCAACGACAAACGATTCGCTTATAGTACACAATATACCTTCATCTACAGCTAACAGCAATAATACTAAAACAACCAATCAAGCAAAAAGGCAAATTTCAACCTCTCCTGAAATCTCAGAAACTAAAAACCTAAACGAAACTTTTATAACTCCAAAAAAATCCGCACCAAAAAAAGAAGAAAAAGGCTTTAGATGTCGAAGCCACATTAAAACCAATTGAAAACATTTTAATGACAGCATCTCCTTCATATACGCTAAATTTCTCTGAATTATGCGACTTCGTTATAAACGCAATGGGATCAAAATTTCCTGAAGTCACAGCTAAAAACTATACAGAAGATTTTGACGGCTTATACACCTTATTAAAAATGGTTCACTCAAAATTAAATGATAGACGCATGAAAAATAATATCACAAGAATTATAAAGAAAATAAATCCAACATATGAATCTTCCCTCACTGAAGAAAGCGACTACGATTTATCTCAATAGTCCAATTAAATTCATTCTTCAATGGAACTTGAATGGCTATTATAGCCACATTGAAAACATTAAAATGCTAATCAATGAACTGTCACCACTAATAATATGTCTACAAGAAACTCGTCTTTCCAACAAACAAGCAAAACTAAAAAATTATATGGCCTATACAAAAAATCGAGCAGTACAGCAAATATCCAGTGGTGGAGTCGAATTTTTGTACATTCAACCATC